CAAGGACAATTTAAATCACAGATCAAGAGGAAAGAAACTTCTCTCTCTAAAACCAAGAGGAAGATACAGAAAATTTAGCAGATGCTAGGAAAAATATGAAGTACAGTGGTCTTTTTGAGACAGGGTCTCTCTATGCAGTTCAGGCTGGCCTTGAGCTCACTTTGTAGCCCAGGTTAGTCTCGAACTCACAATGATCTTCCTGGCCTCAGCCTCCTGAGTGCTGGAATTACAGGCGTGAGCCACCATGCCTGGCTAGCATAGTGGTCTTAATCTAACCTATAATACAGAAGTAAAGCAGTAATGAGCTAGAGTAGAAAGAAATTTACTGATACAAGGATAAAGATTTGAAATATATGATAAGAAATAGAGAAGGGAATAAAGTTTTGAAAGAGCCAGCTGCATGAAAATATCTTCAGAACCAAGGAAATGGAAACATTAAAGGGAAGTACTAGTCACTTTGATTTGATTATTACATCCTGAACACAAATGCTGAGTTAATACACTATATCCTATAAATATGTATGATTATAAATAAACCTGGGGAAAAAACATTTAAGAGGTTTAACAGAATTTTGTGCTGAAGTGACACAGGAAGAAAGGTATAGTGGAATTGAGGAGTTCAAAGCAATTTGAAATGATGCTATGATGAGTTTTATGTACTTTAAATATCTTGTAACAACACCAAATGTTAAGAGTGAAGGAAGAAGGAAAGTCATCCTTACTGAATACTGGAGTCGGTCTAGTGTTCAAGAGTAAGAACGATCACACACACACACACACACACACACACACACACACACACAAACACACAGCCACAGAAGATTCATAGCTTCAGAGGAAGATACAATGTGTCACTTAACAGCAGTACTATTTAGAAGTGGTAAATGAAAGAAAAAAAGTTAAGTACTATAGGTTTATTACAAGTTAAAAAGCTAGCGCCCTCAGATTATTTAAATCTCTCATGGGCTCTTGATTAAGTTTTTTAATAACAAGAAGGCAGAGAGAAATCAAGATAACTGAGAGACTATACAGCTATTGTGTTTGTAATAAACAATAGAGCCAGGTATGGTGACACATAATAAAAAAAACTTTAAAAAGCAACTGGAGAAAGTAGCTCAATGTGAAGTTTCTGGGTTAAATCGGTTAAAAAAAACCAACAACAACAAAACTTTTGGTCATGGCATGAAAGTATGTGTCCTGAGTACACCACTGAGAGTCCTCCACCTTGCTAGGCTACCTTCTGTGACTTCTGCTGGTTGTACACTGTGTGAGAAGATCTCTGGGAGATCCTGAAGCCATGCCATGCATCTACGCAGAGCCAGGAAGAGAAACAAGAAGCCAACCTGCCTTTCCTGTGAGTCAGCAGCAGCCATGAGGGGCAGGGAACAGAAACAAGAAGCCAACCTGGCCTTCCTGTGAGCCAGCAGCAGCTATATGGGGCCAGGAGGAGAAAGAAGAAGCCAATCTGCCCTTCCCATGAGCCAGCAGGTGTGTGGTCTGGGAGACAAGAAGAGGCCCGAATTTAACCCTCCACACCGTAAGAAACCAGTTGATTCAGAGGATCACAGACCAAGTTGATAGCAACTGAAGTGCAAAAACAACTTAATTCTTATACTATTTGATTGACTTTGTACACCTAAAGCTGGTATTCTGAGCAACTATTTAGAGGATAACAATAAGCAATATAGCAACTATGGGGGAATTTCCTTTTCTCTTTTCTTAAAAGCTAAGATTGTTTTATTTTCTTTCATGTTCTGTTTTGATTAGCTTTATTCTCCAATGTTTTGTTTGGCTGTATTATGTCTGATGGTATGGGAAGTTATTTTGAAGATAACAAGAGGTATTATGGTAACCATTGTGATTTCCTATTGTCCTGTTTCAAAGTTCTGATAACTTTCACTGTTTTGATTGGTTTTATTCTATTTTGTTTGATTTTATTCTCTTTAAAATAAAATTTAAAAAAAAATATCATTAGATCAAATTAAAAAAGAAAAACCCACAGCAACTCAGTAAATGAGGACAAAATACTAGGTGGTAGTCATTGAGACTTCTCTATTATGCCCGAGCCTTGTTACTTAATCACATGCCATAATTTCCTTACTTTGTAAAATCAGTAGGCTTTAAATGGCAGAAGCCAAATGACACCTTACACAGAATTTCAAAATAAACAAAAAAGTTCCACATTTCCTCTTAAGATAATTTTGCAGATTACTGAAGGTCCCAAAACATTATTTTTACTGTTCTAAAAGATTTCTAGATCCTTTATGCCCTACTCCATTTTTTATTTTTAAAACCTGTTTACTATTTAATTTCCCTTTCTATAAGTACAAGGATTTGGACTATTTTGACCATTCACCATCCGCATATAGTCTAATGCTTGACAAAGAACACAAAGTCAGTGATTATTAAGCCTGGGAGTTCCACTATAGCATAGTATATATTACCTCTGTAAGCCTAAAACCTCGTAACCTGTATGGCATATATAGTATAAGATGCTCAATAATTCACAAAGAACAATGATTAGTGATTAATCTCACAGATTTAGATGATATGTATCTATAAGCTCTAATCAGAAGAACTCCATATCTACTTACCTAGCCCTGACCTCCAGTTCCATGTCTTAACAGTAAAAAACTAATGAAGTAGAATCTATCCCTCTCAAATAGACCTTTTATAATTTTTGTGGCATTTGCCACTTAACATAAAATGTCTTCCTTTAGGCTCATAACCAATTAGTTATTAAGTTATTCTGATTTTTCTTACATTTCTCATATACTTCTCTTTTTCCTAATACTATTGCCATATTTTAAATTCTCATCACTATATACTCGCAGTATGGGAGTAGCTTCCTGCCATTTATGTCTTTAGTTTCTTTCTCCTCAACCTCTCCCTACCTTTCCCTACTATCAACCAATGTAAATACATTAGTCTAACAAGTCTTTGGTATCTTTTAAACTGAAATTATCATAAAATAAAGCTATGCCTGGAAAACACAGTTTCCCATAGACAGTTTTGATGTAATGCTTAAAAGAAAAAAGCCTTAAACTATTTAAATATATACTGAAAAGCTAATAAAGTTTGTTAGTTTAGGGAATCTGAAAAACTTTACGTTGGTCACTGCTAATCTACAACCAAAAACTACTTGGAATACAGCAGAAATCAATAAATATGGTTAACTAAATATTATGCTTGATACATTGTGTCAACTTGAGAAGTTCAGAAATTTAACCAGAGACTCAGCAGGGAACCAGGGTTCTTACTTTGTAAACATCCTCAGTCTGTGCATGAGGAGGGCAAGGAGATTTTGAGTGCTATACCAGCTCTGGTAGTGGGGGTAGCCTGTATGTAATATAAAGGAGGAAAAGAAGTTTGCTCTTCCCCCTTTTGCTCTGGCTGTCTTGATGTGTTGCCACCAGTGCCATGCCAACCTGCCTGGAAGCCAACTGATTATAGACTGAGACCTCCACTACAGTGAGCTTAATAAAATAAACCTTTCTTCCTGCATTTTAGGTGTTGTGTCTCAGCAAGAGAAAAGTAACCAACAAACTAAATAAATGGGCAGTTTAATGACACTAAATTCGAGAACAAATGCCAGGATGAGAGTAGTGTTCTTTAAAGATAATTCTGATACTTACATATGCGGAGGTTAGCCAGTAAATTACTTCAGTAAGAACAGCCAACATTAATGAAGTTCCTGCCACTACCATAAGATTTTACATGTTTTTATTATCACAAGTCTCTTTAAGGTAGAGAGTATTAAAGATAAGGTAGCTGAAATACATAAAAGTCTCAGCATTATGTTTAAGTACATATAGCATTTAAGTGGCGAATACAATTTCGCCAAGAAAAAACAATGAAGGTTGAATTAGGAAGTTTACTTTGAAGACAGAAAAGTTGGAAAAATATTTTAAAAGTAAAAGTTGCAGCCATAACCTCTACCACATTTTCATACTTTACTTGATCATTAAGCAGTGTAAATCTTTCACTAATTTAAAAAATGGTATATGTATCATCCATCTAAATTCTAAATAGTAAAACTCTTAACATACTCAATATTTTGATAAAACTGTGATTAAGTTTAAATATTTTCCTACCACACTCTAGATAAATTGGAATCTAAAATATCTATTGCTGGGCTTGGAGACACGTGATTTTAGTTACACAGGAAATGAAGGCAGCAGGGTCAAAAGTTTGAGGTCTATGTTAGGCAACTTATCACAACCCTGTCCCAGAACATAGGAAAAGAGCTGGAGACATGGCTCAGTGCTCTCTGGGTTTGATCTCCAGTACCATCAATCAATCAATTAACATCACTGTAGATTTAAATGTACTGCACACTTAAGTTAAATTTTAGGGGAATTCTATAGACAGATTGAATTTTAGGTATTTATGTCACTCAAATTTTTTTTACTAGTATATGTTCACAATATGTAATAGTTACATTCATCTTGGGGAACTGGTATGTATACATCTCGCATCTTGATCATTCATGAAAGACATGGAAACACACACAAGGCTGAGTGACTGAGTGTAAGAACTTTCAGATACAGCTTTGATAATATAACATACAAATGGTGGGTGAGAAGAAACCACTTCAGTGGTTAAATTGTTTGCTATTAAAATAACTAGATTTCAGAATTAAATTTCATTTGGCTACTACATTTTCTAGTTAACATAAATTATACATTTTCAAATTACTATACATGGAAGCTACTGCATCTGACATTCAGCTGTATCTTAAGGCACATTTATCTATAATGCATCAGATGAAAATTGTCAAGAATTTCTAAATTCTTCTTTCATTTTTCTTCATAAAATTTAAGGGGCTGGAGATTTATCTCAGTGGTTCAAGCACTTGCCTGGCAAGTGCGAGGTTGTGAGTTCAATCCCTGGTACCAAAAAACAAAACAAAAACTTAAATGTCTTCTAAAAAACACAAGTTGCATTCAATGTAAACTGTAAGTCTAATGAAAATGTAAGTAAAAAATTTTTCCACTTACCCTGTCTAGTTCCAGTGTAAACTTCTGGTCCCATGATTGATTGGAAATAGGTTTCCAGCTAGTTTGACCAACCACAGTATTATCTAGCTTCAAAACCGCACAGACATCATCTGTAATTAAAATTTATAAATCTGCTTAAAAATACAAAGAACGCTATTATGAACAAGTCTTTTTTTTAAAAAAATTTTTTATCTTTTGTGAGACAGGGTTTTGCTATGCAGCTCAGGCTACCCTTGAACTGGCAGCAATTCTCTTGCCACAACCTCCTGAGTGCTAGGACTAAAGGTGTGTGCCACCACACCCATCAACAGAAGTCTTAAAACTCCTTGAAATAAAATTTTTCATAATAATATTGAAGCGTTTCAATTTTCCATGCCCACCAGAACCTCCCAAATAACCCTTTGATACAACACAAGTAGTAAATGCTACTAGTGACCAGTACTTTGCCACACTGTATGCTTTCATGTATCAGTATCAATTAAGTCTTCCTCTAGCTACATTTGTTATGTATCAAATTTGTTCCCTTACCGTTCTTTATGTTTTTCCCAAAGCCTCTCTCTAAACACAGGAAAATGCAAAAGAAGTTCCTTTACACTCTGTGCTAGGTTGAAGCATTGCCTGCCTTTCTCCTACATTTATATATACATATATATGCATTTATATGTAGTTTAATTATAATAAACCATTTGCATTTTACTTTCTTTGGCCCAGTACTCAATTATCAAAATTCAATATTAGTTTGGCAGTGTCACTAAACTATTATAAGAATCAAAATGTGATTCTACAAGAACCAAATCTCAATCTGTGTATCTTCTGCTTGGCATAAAGAATGAGGCTCAGTATCTAATTCGTTCAAAAATAATTCATCATGCATCCTTGTATTATAAATAAAGTAAAATCTCTTGTCTTTTTGTTTTCTATCATTAAAAGTTTAAAGGTTTTCAAATTAAATTATAGAAATTATAATTTAAAAGATTTCTGTCCCACTTAAGTGTTTTTCATTCTTCTTTGTCCCCATTGGTAAGTTCCCTTAATTTGTTACATGATCTTAAAAAGTGTGGTTACTGAACTGGACAAGTCATCGGTTTTTAGAAGATTTCGACTACTTCCACTTTTACTTTTACTCGTTCTGCTCATGAAAGATGATCTGGTTTCACTTGGACTCCAGCCAGGTAATGCAATCGATGTTGCCTTTGATCGTCCAGGGACGTTCTCTAGGATATCTTGGCAGCCCATAAGACGAACTTCCAAGGTACCTGAGAGCATAAAGTACCAAAAAAGAACAGCAAGTCTTAATATACAGAATTGTGTCTCCGTGTTTCAAAAACAGAAAAAACACAAAGACAAAAAACCCTGTTAAAATAAAACTTTTCTCCTAGAGGATCTGTGAGGTTAACTATCAACTTTCCTGTTTTATTGTGAAAACCGTAAGAAATTTTACAGAAAATAGCATGTCCCAAAAGCTTCCAGTAGGGCATGAAATAAGTTACATAAACTTCTTGCCTATCTAATTGCTTATTTTTATAACTAATGCAAGAATTATGGAATTATACGAATAGAGTATATTGGGGGAAACAAAAGGTAATAATACACTTACTAAAGTAACATCCAGAAGTTAGAAATAAAGAAATCTGAATAACAGTTGTGCTTAATAGTTATGTAGTTGACACAGAAAAGCACTTCATAGGGTTTTTTTACGTGAATAAATATTTCCTGTTTTATTTGAGATGTAAAATTACCATATTATCTTTCTATTCTGAAAGATTAGTCAAATAATTATGGATTGTAATTAAGGGTGAAATAACTGTACTCAGGCAAATAAGTACTAAAGGTGTTCAAATTAAAAATCAGGAATTGTGACTTAGGCCATTTAGAGATATGATTTTGTTATCATTTGGGCTACACGTATACAAGAATTAAAAATGTTTTAGTATCAAAATTTTAGACATTGCATATGACATTTTAGGAGTATTTCCTAGTAAAGTTGTCCTGTTAAATAAATTAAAATAATTTTCCTTAAGGCTTTTAATAATTAAAATATAACTGAAGGAATTAGTTTCCAACCAAATAGTAGTAAAAAGCTTCCCAATTCAAACTAAAAATATCAGACGAAATGTATTTTAAAAGCAATAAAGAAGTCTGATGATAAGCAATGCAAAGCAGTGATCCCCAAGAGACAGGAGCCCTAGGTGCTCTGGCTTATTGCTCTAAGTCTCCAAGCCACAGTACAGAAAGGAGAGCTTAGGTAGAACCAAGCTCTGGAGACAGAGTTAAGAACAAAGGAAACTAAGGCAGCTAGAGCTCATGGGCGAAGAGTTGTCCAAAGACAGAATTTCTGGGATCTTTAGAAAATTTCTCCCATATCTTCAACAAACTATTAATCAGCACCTGCTGGGAAAAAAAAATGAGGCAAAAAACCCTGAAAAGATCAGAAAGAACAATACTCAGCATAGAAGGTAGGAATGGTGTCTGTGCGCGCACTGATCGAGAAATAAAATCCTGATTCATGGGGCCCTGGAGGGAATGCTCTGCAAGAATACTGCTCCAGCAGTTAAGCTCAACTACTCCTAGGGATGCTGCTGTTACATGTAACTGATGTTACAAGCAATATTCAAAAGGTCAAATTATATCCAAGTTGTTTCACAGAAAAAGCTTAAGAATATTTACAGGAATAAAAAAAAAAATCAGGTCTATCTTTTCTACTGCTGTTACAAATTAATACATATTTAATGGTCTGATACAAATGTTAAAATTTATAAAGTAGGATTTTTAAGCACCTATTAAAATATTTCATTTGTTCAACAGTTGAACAGAGACATGGAAGAGAAAAATAAAAGACTTAAACCTAATTTCCAGAGATGATAAAGACAATGTCTGAGATTTTTATTGTTTGTTTTGTGGTACTGGAGATTAAATCTAGGGCCTTTGCTCTAAGCTACAGCCCCTGCCCATTTTTATTTTGAGACAGGGTCTTGCTAAATTGTTAGGGGGTCTAGTCTAGGATTAAACTTGTATTCCTTGTACCTCAGCCTCTCAGAGTATTGGGATTACCATCATGGTTGACTTGGCTGTGATTCCTTAAAAGTCCAGGGAACACATTGGTGGCAGGTTAAATGTTGTGGGTAGGGGAGAGTGAAGTTGAAGGTAAAACAATTTTAAAAACAGGACAAAAGAGTTGAGAGTAAAAAAACCATATATATACTGCTTGGAGTGGCGGTACATGCCTGTAACCCTAGCACTTGGGAAATTGAGGTAGGGGCTCGCTGCAAGTTTGAAGCAAACCTGGGCTACCTAGTGAGTTCAAAGCCAGCCTGAACTACACAAAGAAAAGACAAAAACAAGACTAATGTATATGTGAATGTAATTTCAAATAGCCTTATACTGTATACGGTAATTAAAGTTCCTGATGAAAAGCAGACAATAGGGGACAAATATACATGGCTAAGACTTCTCCAAATTTGGTCAAGCTATAGTTGAATGAATATCAAATGCAAGAAATAGAAGTAAATTGTCATTAATTTCTCAAAACCAGTGATAACACTAAAAGCAGCACAAGAAAAAGCACTTTTAAATATACAGAAACAAAGATAAGAATAGCAACAAAGTTTGCACTAACAATGGAAGCAAGACTTCATACTTTAAATACATGTAGTTTATTATTTGTCAATTATACTTCAAGAAAATTGCCCTAAAAATGGGTATTTGCGACAAAGGCACAGTAATATATACTTATAAAATATAAAACTACACTTAAAATGGGTAATTTCTACAGAATGTAAATTATGCCTCAATAAAGCTGTTAAAGATGGGAAAGAGGGTGAAACTTGAATCTTTTTCATTTTTTGTCAGGCTGTGGAAATCTAAAGTGCTAAATCTAAATCTAAAGTGCTAAATCTAAAGTGCTAAGACAAATTAAATATAATGGTAACATTTTTACTTCAGTTCAAAAGAAATACCTTGTTATGTTTGTGTTTTATTTGCTTTCCTGTTGATGGTAAACTGGCAAACTTGCTTATTTCTACAGTAAAGGCTCAGCTGTAAAAGTCATCCTGGGGAAACTAAAAACATCTGGCTACTACTTCACACTCTGGTAGCTTATTAAATATTTTAGTAATTTCAATACATCAGAACATGACAATGCTTACCACCTGTTTTCATTTAGGAAAAAAGCATCTAGAGGGAGTTAGTATCTTTATTAAACATCTACAAGTTTCTTTCTTTTATGAGGTGACATAATTGCAACTGCAAATAACCACATTAGAAATAGCTTAAAACTACATTCTTTACCTTCATAACTCAAAATACGAAATTTTTAAAACAAGCAAATCTGAGAACTAAATGCTTGCATTCATAAGCTGTAGCTACAAATTATATTAGAAAAAGTAAATGCTTTTTAAATTTATTTCAGCTGTCTGGAAAAAACTACTTTAATAGCTATTGCACTAATTCAGTATTATATTTTCAGTACAACTCAACAATATTTAATTCTAAAGAAATCTCATAAAAACTAGTAAATTTTTCACAATATACAGCAAAAATGCAATAATATATTAAAGTAGCAACAAACTTACAAAATTCATTATAATCATATAACCACAAAAGAAACCAATTAAATGAGACAAACCATAAATTAAGCATGCAGTGGAAAATTCAGACCAGGAAGTATCAATGCTTATCTTCATTAGGTCTAATGCTTTATTAGTATAACTATTTTAGCTTTTCCTACTTACTCCATATTTTACTTAAGATATAATACGAGGCTAAAGAAATTTTAAAAATATTTTGAAATGAATATATCTTCAGAATTCTAAGATATTTTTTAGAATGGTGACTTACATCACTTTGACTAAAGTTCAATAAGAAAATTTAGAGTAGAAGAAAGAATGAAAAGAATTTAAAAGTTTGAGTTGAGGGGAGGAGCAGACTACAATAAAAAAAGAAATACAAAATTCGAGCCGTTATCAGCTGAGTTTCTAAAACACGGCTTTACTACTTTTCTAAAAATGTTAACTTCCAAAACTTTTAAATCATATTTTAATCAGTCACTCACCCAGAAGTTCTTGAGTACCAACAATGTGTTTAGCACTAAGCCAAAAGACGGTAAAACTTAGAAAATGTGTAACAAGGCACTGATTGCAATGGAAAACAAAACAAAACAAAAACCCAAAACTTAGAATGTAAATGAGTACAATTACTATGGAAATCAATATAGAGATGCCTCAAAAGTCTAAAACTAGAAATTTTATTTGACCCCATTTCCCTTTCTAGGTACTTTTCTGAAAAACTTAAAGACATCAAAGTACAGTGACACATATTTATAGTAGCACAATTCATATAGCTAAATCCTGGTAAATGTGATGTTTACACACAATGAAATACTACTCTGTCATAAAGATGAATCATTTGTAGAAAAATGGATGCACCTTAAGATCAATGTTAAGTGAAATAAATCAGACACACAAGCTTAAATATTGCATGGTTTCCGTCCCAGAAGAAACCCACACTATAAATAGCAAAATAAAAAGTAATAGCAAAATAGAAGACAGATCTTTCTTAAATGGGATGAGGATCAACAGATAGAGGGAGGGGAAGGAAAGATGATGAAAAAGAAATTAAGATGTATTATGTACATGTTCCAACTCCGCACAAGGAACATAAACTATGTACTATGTACTGCCAACATATACTATTAAAAAATATAAAAATTCCCTCTAGGATTAATCTCTACCTAGAATAATTACCAACTCAACAATTTACCTGTTAGGTTTTTTCATGTTGGCTGTCTCATTCTCCTTTCTTCCTTTTTTCTTTCTCCCTTCCTCTGGCTTCTCATCAACCTGTCCCACATAAAAACTAACCTGAAGGAGCCTAAGATCTTACCCTACCTATAGCAAATTTGGGGTATCTAATTAATTAATTATTTTTTTGCAGTACCAAAGGTTGAACCCCAAGGTCTTCACACGGAGCTATACCCCCAGTCCTTTTTTATTTTGAGAAATGGAATTAAGTTCCCAAATTGCCCAGACTAGGCTCACACTTGTAATCCTCTTGCCAAAGCCTCCTACAGTGGTACGTTTACAGGTGTGAACCATGATCCCTGGCAAACATTTTAATTTTCATTAAAAGGTAAATATAGTTAAGATTAATAATAAGGCACAGGGATTTAAATAGGATAGATGAGGACTACGCACAATAGAATTATAATAGATCCATGGTAGGAATTTTAAAAGATAACAGTAAGAAAGATAAAAGGTAT